AAACGGATGAGACGAGTCGACAACGTTAAGTAGCGTTAATTCGTACAGGTGAACGCCGAGGAGTTTCCGGCGGCCTCGGCACATTAGCCGTACCGTGTGTATCCATACGGAGATAATCCGACGCTATTTGCGGAGCGGAAACGCGCCGCCCGTGCCGAATTCAAACGATAGCGCTCCTGCACACCGCCTAGTGCACACAAGAACACGGGGAGAGAGAGAGAGAGAGAGAGAGAGAGACGGCATAACGGAGGCATTAATTGGGATTAAGTAAATCAAGACGCTAATTAGCTCGTGCCAGGTGCGCGCGCGCGGGTTTTCACCCCCGTTTGCCCCCTCGTTCTCATCGCTATCACCACCCGTTGACTGGCATGACGAACGAATCCCGGGCATTTAATTTTCCCAACAATTTGCTATGACTACTCTACGCAATTATGACGTACATGATCTAGGAGCAAGTCCTCTCCCGTCATTTATTTGCGTGTTATCGAATTATCGTTTTCTCGCGTGTCTTCGTGTTATTAATCCAGGGATACTGATAACACTGCTCTGGATTTCAATCAGAAAAAAGAACCTTGAATCTTCTATTTTATTAATAAATAGAAACATTTAGTAAGAAAATATGTGTTAATTTTATAAACATTAATATTTTAAAATAATTATTAGTAATAATTCGATTTCAAACTTCATCTAAATGTGCTTTTTCTAAAAAAATTTTTTTAAAAAAAAAAAAAAAAAAAAAAATTTTCTAGAAAATGTATTATTTACCTGTACATCTTTATTTACTTGTAAACAAATTTCTCTGTTGAGATCGTGTTTGCGATATTTTCATCAATTTTTCCTACTAAAATATGATGCTTCCATATATTCCTATATTACCTCGTCGGAAGTCTATCAAAAAATTATTCAATTGAAAATAAGTTTATTTAGCAAAGTAAATAAATTTGACATTTCAACTAAAGCATTTTTAATTCATATTTTCCAGAAAATATATCCAATTTCCAAGCAAAGAGCGTATTGCAATCACATTATTGATCCTGAAGAATATATACCTATATATGTATACACCGCCACATGGCGATACAATAAATACGATTAGTAATTCTGATCTCTCGATCTTTTTCACAATAGACTCCCTTTCTGTTTACTTATGCGCAAAGGTATATAGCACAAAAATTTGTATTACTTATTATTACTTTAAGTCATAATAAAAGTTGTAAAGCGAATATAATATATATCATTGTTACACTGTGTCATTATTTTTGAATTTATATTCCTGCACAATACAGTTAATTATATTGTTTGTCAGAAAAGTTTTTTGCGATAACGCGCAAAAAACAAATAAATAAATAAATGGAAACAGTGATTATTTCCTAGAAGAGAACACAAAGAACCAGAAGGATGAGGAAGATGAGAAAATCAGAGGAGAGTGGGAGAGGATTCGAGAAAGCTCCTGCGGAAACGCGGCGGAGAACATGCGGTAAGTCCGTGCACAGGGCCTGGTAATATCGCGAAAAGTGTTTGCTTAGCTTGTCTCGACCGACGTTGGAAGCATTAAACCGCGAGCGTTCTTTCGTCTCCTCGAGAGACGATCCCGGGAGCGAGGATCCCCCCCCTCGTCGATGTGTACTCTTCCACCGCCCTCGATTATTTCCGGTGCGGAGAGTTCCGGGGCCCCATACGCGCGAATTCCCATTTTCCCGATTAAAGTTATCGTTGATGATAGCGAACGAGCCAATTAAACGAAAACGTATCTTTTCGAAATAATTAAAGCGAATATAATATTTTTCACTTATTATACTCGTCATTATTTTTGAAAGCGTTTTCATACGTAGCTTGTATGACTTTGCTATTTGTACAATTTTTATTTTCATTACTAAATAATTTTTTATTTTAATTCATATTATACTATCGTACTTTTAATTCATTACTATTGTAAAATTTTATTTTATACTATTATTGTTATTTTTATGTTTCGTGTTATGGGCACTTTAGCGAAGATATCTGCGAGAAACGCATTCACATGATACATTCTTATCAGGAAACTGATTCTTCTCTAAAAGCACTTGTCTATTGTAATCGACATTGATTGCTATTGTAATAATCTCAACGATACTCGCTGATCGCGACAATGTTGCGATAGAGGGTCGACACGACAATCAGACGAACGGAAAGCGCGGAGGGATGTTGCCTCTGTTAGCTCTGATTTGGGACGATGGCCTCCTGGGAAATGCACGTAATCGTCTCGCTGAGTCTCTATTCTGGACCCTCGGATTCTCACCAATGATGATTGGACTTGTTTATGAACGCGATCGCAGCGCAAAAAATCGCCGACTGAATTGACTGACAGAAGTCAATGAAGAGAGTGAGGTAGAATAAAAGAAACTTTCCTTTATGCCATCGTATTAGCTTATATAAGCTTAAACGGATAAGCTCGTATAAGTTCGTATAAACTCAGACAAAATAATTTTCTCATGACAAAAAATACAAAGTAAACAGATATATCAACGTATGTATATTATAAACCTCATTATATTTACAATAAAAGAAACTAACAAATCCAATGCCCGTATCAGAAATCAAGATTGAATTTGATCAATCAAAACAAAGTTCACTAAACTTGATATTGGTTTTCTTTCTATCTGGCCAGTTAATTTCAATCTCAATCTCTAGTCTGATACAGGCATTAAACTTTTCCTTTCCGTATGAAAGAAGTATCACTCTAATCACCGGCGATCGTAATTCTGCCATTCAACTGCCAGTCAATTTCCCTTTTGAAGAAATAAAAAAACAAACGGGACAAATATCGCTCGGCTTCCTCGCGTAAATGAAAACCGAAACCACCAACAAGATGAAAAATAGGGAGAGGACAAGTAGCAAAGGTGGTCTCGTGGCGGCACCAAGCACCCAGCGCGCGCGCGAGAGGTGGGGCAGGGTGCCTTCCCCAGGGTGGAGAGTATACGAGGAAAGAACGAAGAAGAGGGCCGGAGCGAACGATCGTGGCTCCGGAATAAAGTGGAATTCAGCGCGAGCTGAATTATAAACGATATTATGCAAACACGGCGCCGCGGAGTGAAGAGAAGCGCGTACTCTCTCATGCTGCGAGAGTTAATTTGATGAAAAACATCAGAGGCCAGGCCAGGCGCGGGCAAGAGGGTTTCGGAGCAAAAGAGAAAGAGAGAAAAACAAAGAGGCAGAGAGAGAGAGAGAGAGAGAGAATGAAAAAAGGGAAAAGAGAGAAAGGAAGAGACCGGCAAAAGACGCATCTCGCGGCGAAAGATCGCTCTATCCAGAAGGCGAGAGCGCTCCTCTCCTCTCATTATCCAGTCGGCTCTCGAAAGACGTTTCCTTTCTCCTCTCTTCTTTATTCGTCTTTTCCTATCGCTCGCGTTTGCATCAAGTCGCGTTTAACTCTCATTTGAAGCCGACAAATAGGTTAGGTTTATCGCATAAATGCTACAATTACGATGCTATCTTCTCGTCGCACAAAACAATCCGAAACAAACGAAAACAATCCATTTTCTATATATATATTTTTTTTAACTACAAAGTCGATTATTGCTCGATAGATCACAATTATGAATACTATTTTTCTTCTTTAAGAGAATGTTTAAGTTTTTAAACTCATCTTTAATTTAATAAATATCGATGAATCGCCAAATATTTCGTAGATTGAAAACTGAGAGATCTAACTGGCAATTATTAACTTGAATTATCAATGTAATATTTCGACTGTGGTATTTCTATTATCGCGAGCTCTTCTTCCAATATAATCTTCGTACGCAACCAATTAATATTTATCCAATTATTAATATCCTAATATTCTTATTAATATCCATTAACATTCAATCAATTAATATTCGTTCACGCAATATTGGGGAGAAATAACATCCAAGTTTCAAGATTCTCATGATTTTCAACATGTAAAGTTAACGTGTTATTATCTCGAGCCTCGTAATCATAACGTAGTGTGATATAATGGCATTGTTGCATCCTGAATTGACACGATACACACGCGATATACACGCGTTCGTATCGCGATCGATGTGTTATCTATACATATCCTTCGTGTGTCTTACAATTATGCCATTATATCTTTGCATGCTATTATAGACCGTAGATGTCTTGTTCACGTTCAATGCAAAAATTTTCAATCGTGCACAAAAAGGAGGGAGGTCGTAATTTATCCGAATAATATTATTATCTAATTCTTGGCTTTGATCTCAATGGGGAATTAATTGCGGTATAAATGACGCAATTGTAAAAGAGTAATTAACGGTATCATCCCTTTTAACGAGCTGCAATAGAATCTTTCGAAGCCCTTTCGACTCGAATTCTTCTCGCATCTCTCGTGCGCGAAACGAGGACGATCAGGAGCGCATCCTGTAATACCGCGATAGAGAAGACTGATCCTTCGGGCGCAGGTGCAACTCGGCTGTGATCGCGACGTATGCCGCCAATCTGCGCTCGTTGGGGGCGGTCCTCGGTCGCTCCGAAGGGGGTTGAGCCAACCCTACGCGGCGCGGCGTAGGTGGTAGAAGCTCAGCTCGAAAAAGCGAAGCGCTTCTACGCGCAGCTGATAAACAGTACGACGATGGTGCGCCTGCTAGCCGGCGCTTCCAGCGTTCAAATCACGAAGAGTCGCGAGATCGGTCCGAGCCGAGTGTTCGCGAGAACGGTACCGCATCTCGACCAACTTGTATACTCGCTGATCTCGTGTGAGAAAGCTCGAACCGTGACTTCCGGATTATCCCGACACGATTTTCAAGATTCAATCATATTATAAGGGAATACATAAAGCAACTTCGTAGACTTTTGTAGATTTTGTGAGAGAATAACGATGACGTCAATTGTTACGCTCTACGGAGCGATCAGCGTCCTAATCACAGAGCTCCTATCCATTTCCTTCCCATGTCACGAACGACGTTAAGACGCGCTGATTTAAACGTCTGTGAGAAATTCGAGGGTTTACAAGTGTTGGATCTACAAAGAGTTGAACAACGATGTATGGTTTATACAGAGCGTGGTTCGGTGGCGGTGCCACGAGTACCAGCTATCCCTGTCTTCAGGACACGTTCTCGCCACCTGACACGGTGGTACGAGTCGGCAACGAGGGCGAGCACCAGTTTGTCGCGCACAAAGGTGTACTCGCGGCTCACAGTGGATATCTAAAGGCTCTGCTGACGAGCGCGGCGACGACGACGGCGACGACATCGTCGAATTCGCCCTTCGATCCTACCTGTGCGACCGTCGCCGTCACGGCGAGCAACGGGCAATCACAACGACCGGTCACTTCCGTATCGGTCTCGTCCATCGGTAAATATAGACCACAAGTTAGAGATCGTTCTAACGATACACCTATTATCTCATCCTCGGATAGAATTGCCAATAGAAGACTTAACACTGTCCCTCTCTCAATATTTATTTATAAAATTTACTTGAAAGAAGAAATTTATTTAACGTAAATCGCTAAAATATTTTTAATCATATATTTCTAAATTATTTAAATCGTAAATTAAATTATTTGATTAAAGTTTTCAAAGAATTATGTATTGGTATTAATCGATATTAAAATTAAAGTTTTCAAAGAATTATTTATTGGTATTAATATTTTCTGCTCTTTCGGTTTTTTGTCGTGACACAACAAAATACAATGCTTTCAAAACTACTTTTGAATAATAACAGTAAGCCAACAACGAAACAGAATAATTAACAAACTTCCAGTGGTCGCACAGTGTGCTATTGTTACTTCCAATCTCTCATTGGGATTTTCCAATATAGTTACCCAATTCAATCCAATCCAATCCAATAATTGAATCGCTTGGTTCACAAGTGGCGTAAGTCCATTTTCGTAGTGTTTGCAAACAAAACATTTTCCATTCGTATTGCAAACGTTTTCTAATAAAATAATTCAATTCGTTAAATAATTACGTTAATAAAAATTACGATTTCAAAAGCAATCTAAAGCGTATCTTAATTCACCACTTGTGAACCAAATCCCAGCAAACAGAATATTTTCCAATACGACTACTAATGTATTTAAGTATTTGCATAAAGAGTGGGAAGCTGTACGGATACTTTAAAGTTAGAAATGCCGATTATCTCTCTCCTAGCAGACTAAATTCTCCATCTAGAAAATTATACGTATCACTAAGCTTTGATCTTACTTTGCAAGACAAACAAAAATAAGAATATCTGATTTTAACTCGCGCATTAACATGTCCCGGTTCCCAATATGACTTAGGTGGAGAGGCATTCGCGCCGTTGCTCAACTATATGTACACTGGACGACTGGAGGTGACGCTGGATAATGTTTATAGCGTGCTACTAGCGACGCATTTGCTGCACATGCCGGGTGCACTGGAGCAATGCAGAGCCGCGCTATTAAGGTTGCGAGCACCGCCACCTCTGCCAACACCGCCGATGCCGACGTCCGCATCAACGACGCCCGGGTCGCCACCGGGAACCACCGGTAGCATCCTACGACCTATACCGAGTAGGCTGGTAGTAGGCCCACCGCTATGTTGGCCCCCGACGACCCCGCTTGCATATCCACCAACAGCGCCGGCACCGACTGCCATGTCGCATCTGCCACCGTCAATGCAACCATTGATGCAACCAACCGTACCACTCGGAATCAACGTCGTCGTGCCGAGAGAAAAGCAGGAGCAGTGTGCGCATTATAGGTTCGCAATATGCAATCGAATCTTTTTACACGGCCTTGTCCCAGTGTTAAAATTTAAATCAGAAGATTTATAAGTACCTTATCTCTTTCACATGTTGGAAATCTTACATATGTCTAGCAATAATAAGATTAATCCAATAAGATTTCATCTTATACGAATTTTTATTTAGCCAAGGCATACTGCAATGATTAGCAATTCTCATATTCAGAAAAGAGAATTTGAACACTTATTGAATTATTTTTTCAATTTTTTTCTGTTTTAGTAATAGCTTATACGTTTTTCTGAAGCCAAAGAAAAATTAAAATATACTCTTGCTGTGTAAAAATAAATTAACTTAAATAAATTATTCGACTTCCATAGAAACAGTAGCATGTACGTTTGACGCAAGTGATTCACATTGTCAATTGTAATAATATCTATATAATATAATCAAAATGCGTAACAAGTATAGTGATAATATAACAATATTTTCTTTAAAGGGGATTAAAATTATTCTAGATTTCAAGATTGATGGAAAATTATATGAATGTTTGCAGCGCCGGTGAGATGTCAAAGTCGCCGCAGTCCTCGCCGAGCGCGGCGCACCACAAACGTCCGAGATTGCACTCCAGTAGATCGAGAACACCGGAGATCGTGTCTACCGTTTCCATCCGCAGCTGCGTTCACCGCGTTCGCCGTGACGAGCAGCACAGCGAGTTCTACGACGAGAGCACCATCGCCGTCGCGGTCGATCTCACCGGCTCCATCCTATGCGTCGCAAACGCATTCGCCCATGCATCACAACAGTGACAAGTCGATGGAACGCGAAGTTCAACGAGGAGAAGAGGTCGAGGATCGTTCCGCCAGATCGTCTAACGATCGGCTAAATAAATCGTGTACTGCAGCATCCGCCGACAGCAAAGCACCAAATCGTAACCGCAGCAGCAGTAACGATAGCAACGATAATGAAGATGTTGCGATATCGGAACATGACCGAGCGCGTTCGTCTCGTCGTCGAGCTCGAAACGCAATCTCGGGCACAAAAGAGGCTTCCACCACAAGCACTGTCTTTTCCGTAGTGTACGACATCGCGTGCTGCGATGGACCGGTGCGCTTCCACCGTGTTTTGAATGAGAATTATTCGTCGTCGACGTCGCACGAGTCGCATAATGCCCCGATACGCCCGTTGAGAAACTGTCAGCTGACGGAGGGAGAGGATCCGTCAAGCGAGAACGACGAGAACGGTGGACCAGCAACGCAAGGAGGAGGAAGCCGTACACGTAGTCCCAGCAACGATTCGAGCAACGATGGTAGTAATAGCGGCAACAACGGTGGTTGTTATACTTGCGGCTATTGCAAGCACACCTTCAAATCACAATATTGCTATAGGAAGCACGCTAAGCGGCATTTATTGCCAACGAGGATCAACGAGACGACTGGTGGTGACAATAGTGGAGGCGGTGGGGACATTGTTAATCACGGATCGCGGCAGGATGCCGCGCGTGGAAACAGACGAGAGGTCAGATTGTTGGATTTGAATGTGCAGTACTATCCCTGCAAGATCTGCGGTTGCAAGTTCCCCAGTTACTACTTCGTACACAAACACCGAAAACTCTGCCACGCGAATGACGAGGAGAGGCAAGCCGCCACGGATGGAACGAATGCATCGAGTCGTGACGCGGACACATCGTCCACTCAGGATGCTCCGTGAAACGAAAGGATACGAATCCTTTTCTCTCTTTCTCATTAGATAGGTACTGAAATAATATCACAAATTTTTGTCTTTTAATGATAAAAAGAATCATCATTTTGTTCTAATGTGAAATTTTAACGCTTCCAGATTTTTCCCTTATCTGTTACCAACATAGACACTTATGGAAAACAAAGAAGAGATTCCCTTACTCGAAAACAAGAGGAAAGACATTTCACAGATGGAACTCAAAGTACCTATTAATATTTGCGCGTGTGTCGAATATTTAATTGCAAATAAAATAGATTGATAATCAAATCAAATTATCGTAGAATGTAATATGCTGGACGTTACGTTTAATTAAACCCTGTTCTTGCGTTATTTCAAAAATGTATAAATCATTAAGAGATAAAACGTCGTACATGTTAAAAAAGATTTAGCTTCTAATTTATATTTAATAGATAGTACCTAATCGCGCGTTTCATCTTTTACGTGCATTCTTTATCATTATACATATCTTGATGTTATATACGTCTTGGTATATATTTCGTGTGCCAAGAAATTGTACAAAAAAAAAGATAAAAGCCTACGATGTAATTACGTAGTGATGTAATCAAATCTTCGTTACATATAACAATTTAATTGTAAGGAAAGTTATAGTGATAAATAAAAAGGAATACTAATTTCTCTATGTAAAATAAAACTGCTCATACACAAACTGTATTTCAACGTTAAATTTAAAATTAAATGTAAGTTAAACGTTATTGCTACATTTCATTCATTTTATGTAAAAACATTTACATCTGTTATAAATAAGCTGTATGTTTCAATTATATATGTATATATATTTTTTCAAAATTTAAGTATACAATCTAATAATGCTAATCCGATATGTTTCGGAAACTCTTTGAAAATTCACAAAAATAAACCACGCGCGCGCGAGACAAAAAAATTATATTATTAAATATTCTATCGTTTCTATCGTAAAAGCGACATAATAAAATAAATACTTTTCCGAAAGTATCTATATCAATAATGAAATTAATATGATAATTAAAGATACATTATTTCGGATATATTAATAAATTAACTTTCGAAGATACAGAATAATATAAATAAATAGTTGAAGTCAATCGAAAAACTTCAAAAACTTTTTTTAAACGTTATTAATCTAATTCTTATGTACTTATGTACAAGATATAACGGGGAAATTGTAATTACGTATTAATGCAGATGTTCAGAAAGCATATATAGAAATTGAAACTTTTGGAATTAAGACCCAGCTTGGAAAAAATCTAATTAATGTCAAACAAAAATACAAAATATCAATTGGCACTAAACTTACCGATGACGTCGATCGATGGTGCCTCTTCATCACTGGTTTCCATAGGAGTATGATTCTCTTTCTTCTTATCTTTTATTCTACCACTAGCTGCTACGTTAGCACCACTGTTATTCGTGTCCCTGCAACCTGGTTTCTTTTTACTGGATTCCTTGAAGTCTGACTGGATAGTCGAAACGTTCGTCGCGTTGTTCAACGAAGACGCAGACGATGATAGTGCGCCTTTCCCTTCCATTCTGTAACAATATCGAAGCACATAAATTGGATTTGCTTAAACAAATACAAGCCGCATGAAATATAAATGTAAACTCTGTGCACGCTCGTGTTAAAAGATAATCCATGAACGTTTTGCTTCAATCATATTTCCGTTTTTCAAAAAAAAAAAAAAAAAAAAATGAAATGTGAGATTTTGTCGTGATAAAAAAATATTTTTCATGATAAAATTTTGCTGATTGTGTCTTAAGAAGCAGCAGGGAATTCGACACTCATCATTCTCATTGGGCAGAATCACATTTCCAACGATCGAGTCAATTACGGTGATGAGAGCCTACGTAAACATAATCCACTAACCGGTAACCATTGATTAGCATTACAATCTGCTAATAATTGGTCTCCCCCCACCCTTCGCCGCCACCACCGTCGCATCACTCCGCCCAATCACTCCTGGCATATCCCCATCACCCCCAAAACCGCTTTCCACCCTTCAACGACTTGCTTCTTTCATTCGACTATCGCGCGATCACCCTCGATAAGTAAAACTTATCTCTATTAGTACAGCGCCATAAAAAAAGGCAGATTAAGTTTCTTTTTGCGCGCGTTTTTGTAATATCCGTACGCTGCTGAACAGCGTATTGTAATCGTTAAATGGGTATTCGCGGGTCGTCTCTCCCACCGTGGACAATATTGAGATTGGTTCGTTGGAGTGGGGTATGTTTGCGGAATGAATATCTTCCGGCCGATGGATACGGTTCATTCAATCAGTCCGCGTACACGCTTTTATATAGATCAGAATCGGGACCAATTGATATGCGCGTTTCGCAAAATGAGCCACACCAACTTTTTTATTTCTTACTCGCGTATCGAAAATGATTAATATTGTGAACATTTGATAAAATACTAAAAAGAAGTAAAGGTACGATATTCACATGGTAACATTCAGCGAACGTATTCAATATTCATATATATTAAAATACATTCTGTCATTCTGAGAACACGTTATATGCTACCTCAATAATTCCAAAATACAATAATTGTATAAACTACATGTATAAGCTTCAAGTACATACTTAAATTATACAAGACAAAACGTTGCATAAAGTTTAATTAAAATATAGATTTAAAAAAATATATATCACACGTACATTACTTTAATGTCCTTCCCCGACGTAGGTTCCGATTGTGACTCTTCTTTCGGCTCTACTTTTATGAGATGAGATTCTTTTAAATCAATTTTGTTCTCTTTATTCTCCTTACTCGCCTCCCTGGAATCCTTCGTACTGGACATTGTCGACGTTGTCGAGATGCTTGACGTCGCGGTGGAGTTCGGGACTGATGTCATTGTCGTTGTCGTTGATGTCGTTACTGAATCCGCGGTTACACTAACGCCCGACGCTATCGAGCTCGAAGGAGTCGTCGTCGTCGTTATTGTCGTGGTTCCGACAGTTGTTGACGATACGCTCGATGTGCCCGTAGTGCTCGTTGTGGATGCAGACGTAGTCGTTGCCGAACTATTCTGAGGATTCTCCTGAGTTTTCTGTTGCTGCTCCCGCTGTAACCTTGTCGTTACGCCTGTCGTTAAAATATCTATAGGTCCAATAGTCGAACTGGTATTATTTACCTGAAACAATTTATTAAGAAACATTTTCTCACATATTAACAATCAAAAACTTAATAAGTGTTTTTTAATTTTTAAATGCTAATTTCTAATTCCTTTTGCTATTGATAAATTGTATATATACAGTATACAGGGTGTTTCCAAATTAAATGGCAAAACTTCGGGAGCGTGTAGAGGAGTAAAAAACTAAGAAAAAAAGTCCTATAGACATATGCTC